GGATGTTCATGATGGCAATGAGAGGGCAAGGGCCGTTAGTGCTCTGGGTGATGATGGGTGTCCGTTCTCCCTTCCAGGGGATCCACTTTACACAGTAGAAGTCTAGCTCAGGTTGTCGGGCCCTGGGGGACTGGGGAAGCTCTTGGGGCCAGGAGCAGGCCCCCACTGTCTCTACCTCAGGCTGTGTCCCCTGGGCTGTCTCTTGTTGGCTTGAGCTAGCATCAGGTGGAGGGGACTCGAGGTTATCCTGGCCCTGGGCTGGCAGCAAAGCTTCATCTACTGGCTTCTGTTCTCCAGCTGCCCCATCAGCCTCTTCGGCATCCTTGTCCTGAGGGGGCTCACTGGGTTCTGACAGGACCTCATGGTTTTCAGGGCTGACCACTTCCGCAGTCCTGGCCTCACAACGGACTGGATGCTCAGGCTGATGGTGTTCCATGGTCAGGAGGGGTCAACTGAGGGGCACCAAAGGACTTTACTGTCCTCAGGGACTGGCTTAATCTAGGCTTGATATGCAAAAGAGAGAACGATCCAATAAGAAGGAAATCATTGGGCTGGAACCCAAATAGAGCCAGAAAAGTCTTGGAAAAGGAATGTAGTGCAGAAGACTCGGTTAGCGTCTGTTGGCCACTCCTGGCTACAGGTAGTACAGCTTTGGGGTAAACAGAAGGGCCCCAGGCCGGGCTCTTTCACCTCTAACTTGCTGTGACCAGATAGGACCAACGAGGGTACAGGACTTTCAGGCTTGGGGGTGATGATTCCGGTGGGAATGAAGACATTGGATGGCGTCAGCTTCCCTGAAACAGGAAGGACAAGGAATGGAGACAAGACAGAAAGGGCGGGTAAAAGGAGAAAGAAGAAAAAGAGATGGAGAAAGAAATGTTAAAACTATACTAATGATTATTAATACAGTGATCTTTAGCTCACCCTGTAATAGGCATCATGTCAGTAAACCCCACCATAGCCAGAATGAGAGTAATTCCTCTGCCCTACCTGAACCCTGTCCCTTGGCTGTTCAGGAAACATCCTGAGCACACATGGCTTATATCTTTAGGGCCATCTTCTCTCTGCCTCATCCCAAGGGCAAAAAGACGAACAGTCATATAGTGCTTGGGGTGAAGAATAAAGAGAGTCAGTACCATACCCCTAAAGGCGAAACACTGGTGAGAAATAAGTCTTTCTCCTCAAAGGACTCCACCTTCACAACTCCAGATTTACACAATCGCAAACCACAACAAAAAGATCCTGGGAGGAGCTTCCTGTAGGCTGGAGAGGGGAAATGCAGGCCCTGGGGACTTGAATCAGAGATCAGTTCTGATAAGTAATTTCAGATTAGATGTACAAAACAGACACACACACACACACACACACACACACACACACACACACACACACACACACACACCACCCGACCCCATTCTTCCAGTAAGCTTCTCTTGACAGCTAGAGTTGGGATATCGACGTCTCCTCAGTTCCTCTATGCTCCGAAAACTGCCAAAACCCAGAGATACTCTCTTGCCCACTACATGGAATATGAAAATACTGATTATTGATTTCTGTAAAACAAAAAATGCTCCGTCTCCACTCCTCTACCTGTGCATATGTTCTTTCCATCTATTCCCATCTAGGTCATTTTAGATGTCAACTCTGGATCTGTTTAACCTGCTCTCTACCAGCACTAAGCATAGACATTTAATTAACACCATGGATTGTAGACAATAAAAAGCCACAAACCCTGCCCCCTGGAAAACATCTCCCTTCAACCTCCGTACTCCCCTCACCCCCTTGATCAGGGGGAGAAAGGGGGAGAAATTAAACTTGTTAGAAATCTTTTCTCTTGCTTCCGCCTAACCTGAGACTATGCTTCCTTTTGCAATCCGGCAGGAATTTAGGGCTAGGGTAAAGCCTGGGGGGTGAAGTTGAGGAACAGAAAAGTTACCGAAATAAGCCTAGTCACCCAAATTGATCATCCTCCTGATTCAAATATAATTTATGCTAGCTGCATCTCATTTACATGTTGTTGATTTAGAATCATAGCAGCAAAAATTGCCTGCAGGCCTTATGCTTTTTTTCCCCTCTCTCTCCCTTTTTCCTCCTTTCCCAAATGACACTTAGGATGAGCCTTAGAAGCAGAAATCAGAGCCTGGGACACTTTTTTAAAAGCTTGGAGAAAAACAGCGCTTATTTCTTAGCTTTTCTGTCCAATGCCAGAAATGATCAATAATTAAGCGGGGGTTGGGCCACTAGCTGGCCAGGCCAGTGGTATCCAGGAGCTGGATACCAGAGGGAGTTGGGTCTCAGAGAATCTGGGCAAAAAGCTAAGTGGGCTAAGTCTTCAGAAGAGGGGCCAGAAGTGTGATGGAGGAGTTCCACTCTACAGGAGGCACGCCTGGTGGGTTGGGCATAATGGAGTATTTCAGAGCAGGAGAGACTCTGAGACTCATAGGTACTCAAACAAATCAGGACTTCATGCTTTTCCTCTTTTCTTAACTCAAGTCCTACACTTTCTCTCCAGCTGGAATTATCTCTGGTGGCGGTAAGGGAGTCAAAACAGCCCTGGACTCTCCCTATAGCCAGAGGCAGTAAATAGCCAAAAGTTGGAAGAAGCATATAAACCAGGTATGTAGCTTCAAGAAGACACCCGTGTCCCCTGCCCTGGCTCCCCAGGAACTTTACTCTCCCCTCAAGTGCCTGACTGTCCCACTCTAATCTCCCTCTCACTCTGTCTGACCCAAATCTTCATGCAACTAATGATTTAGATTTTCCCCTCAGAATAAGGCAACCACAGTGCGCTGTCTACTTGCTAGCAAGGGAGAGGGGGAAGGTGTCATTAAAAGGACGAAGTGTAGGGACCAAGCAGCATCTCTTTTACATACTCCTTCTGCCTGAGCTCCTCTCGAAATCCAGACGTATAGAGACCCAAGGTGGAAGGACAGCCCGTGTCACCTCCCCAGAGCTGGAGAGGAAAAAGAGCAGTGGGGGTTAGGAGAAAAGGCGAAGGAAATGGTTAAAACAGTTTTTACCTTACAGAAGTGGGTGCTGTTCCAGGACCTAGAAGGGGGGTTCAACTCTGGCAAAGCGATGGTGGAGGTGGGTACAGGGAGGGGCGCCGCCACAGTCCCAGCTGCCTTCCAGCTGTCAACGCCAGAGCTTATACAGGTTTACCCAGGTTTACGAGCGGCGGTCCTGGCTGGATTGTGGCTACTTCCGGACTCACGCCCACGACCGGGGGGCACTGGAGGAGGGTGCAGGCAGACAGGGGTGCAGCCCAGGTGCTCCCAGGTCGCTTAGAGCGTCTTCGGGATTTCTGAATCGCCGAGTCTAGGGCGTGCGCTCCAGGCCCTGTCTACAAGCTGGTTTTCAAAGGAAGTTTGTGGTTTTTCTTTTTTCTTCTTTCTCTCTCTCTCTTTTTTCCCATCAGGACAAAGAAAAATCAGTCAAGGACAAGCTCCCCAGAGGAGGAGGAGCCTGCCCAGCACTGGAGGATTTCCATTAGGGCTTTCTGACCTGGTCAGCAGCTTGGTGATCAGCAGTGAGGGAGAGAAACAGGGAGAGAAAAACAACAGACCCTTTCTCTTCCCTCCGCCTGCCGCTGGAAGGGACGGAGCACTTGTGCCTCTCTGGTGAGAATAGGGAAGAGCAAGGGCCCTTGCTGAGTGGGGAGGAGCAGGGCTGGACAGCAGCAGCACGTTGGATCTCCCGGGGTATAGCAGTCCTTTGCCCTGGATCCAAAGAAGCAGGGCCAAAGAGCGTGATATTTCCATATTTATTCATTTAAAGTGAAAAAATCCCGATCCTTTCCAAGTCCTTACTGAATCATTTTTTTAGTCTAGAAATGAAACCGGTTGGGCTGTGCCTGGGTAGTGCAGAAGAAGGTGTGGAGGAAGCCCCAGGCTCTGGGAAGAGTGCAGCAGGGAGAAAACCAGCTGAGCAAGCAGGACATCCAATACCCCTGTGCTCTAGTCCTTGTTCCCACCACGGGCCTCAGCTTCCCATCTGTCCCCTCCTCTCAATTCCTAGCTTGGGGAGCAGGGAAAGCTGGTGTGAGGCTGGTGGTAGGAAATAAAGGGATGGATTAATAAATAGGGGAACATTTGATGATGAGAATACCTTTATTTGCAGTACTCTGCACTACCCTGGGGCTGGAAGGTGGCAGTTAAAGGAGGTTGGAACCCTACTCTACGTTCTGAAGGGCCCTCCAAGCTCTACTTACAGGGCTGCCGCAGGATGAAACTTCAAGCAACTCCGAAGGCTGAAAGAGCAGTTGGAACAATGAGGGAGGCAGGGAGCAAAGAACCCAGGTTACAACAGTCCAGGAAAAGAATGAGACATTTGCCGACGCTGTAGGAAAAAAACAGGCTACAGAAAAGAAGCAGCAGGAGTTGGCGACAGACTGTAGGTATTAAGTAAAGAAGAGAGGTCAAAGACTACTCTAATGTTTTTATAACATGTATAATCACGCAATTGGTGGCAGTTGGTCAGTTTGGTAAGGAAGAGAATTCGAGAGAGGGATGAGGAGCTGTTTTTGCCCAGTGTAATTTAAGATGTCAACCAGATGCGCGGTGTAATATATGGAAAGATGCTATACTTAGCCTGACTCAAGAAGGAAAGTTCAGATGCCACAAAGATAGGTTATGTGACACATATACACTTGTGATCTCAGAAAATTCTCCTTCCCTCAATTCTTGGGGCCATTTTGGCGCTTCGAGACTACACTTCCCAGGACGCCCTGCACCACGCCCCATTTCGCGCCTCCGGCCCCCACTTCGCTCCTCCCGTGAGTCCCTGGGCGCAGAACTCGGCCTCCGCCGCTGGGGGCGGGGCGATGTCGGACTCCCGGGGCCCTTGCTTACGCACTTCCTCCCGAGGTCGGGACCGAGTCGCGGTGTGGTGGGTTCGAGTCCCACCTCCCGACTCGCCTCAAGCCCCTGAACCCGGGGCGGGGCTCATTCGCCAGTTAACCTCTCCGCGGCGAGGGGCAGTGGCACACCTTGAACTTCAACATGGAGGACTATCTGCAGGGTTGTCGAATTGCTCTGCAGGTAACGGACCCCTGTCTGTAATCGTAAGGAATGGATCCTGGGGTCCCGGAAGGACAAAGATGTGGGACCTGGGGAGACCCGAGGGTCTATGTGGAGGGAACGCGGAATTGTGGGGTGGGGGCTTGGGATCTGATCAGGCTTGGGGCCTGAGGTGTGAGGAACGAGAACCTATCCCTTGAGAGTGGGAATGCTGCGCAGTCACCCCACTCCTGAGCTGGGGGCTCCTGCTTTTGGGGTCTGCTCGAGAGCGGGGAGGCGGAATTGTGGGTCTGGGTCCTGCCTCTGAGCCGCTGCTCGCTGTTTCTGGGTCAGTTCCGTCAAAAGGATCGGAGCTGTGCCTGCCGCGAGGTGTGTTTGTTCATTTCTCCCCGCCCCTCTTTCAGTTCTCCGCTCACGAGGCCTCCCGGGCCCACTGGCCTCCAGGTGAACCCCGGGGGTACGAGGGAAGCTGTGCCCACGGCTTTGTTGCCTCTGAACGGCGGTTTCTGTCTGGCGGGCCTAATTCATTCTGAATTAAAAGTGGTGGTAGCAGGCATGTCTGTTAACTACAACCTGCATTCCTTTGCCTCCAGTTTTCTTCATTGGCCTTAACACACATAAATTACATAAAAATCCGTGGCCTGGACTGGATAAGCACAAAGTGTGTTTGGCATCAAAACTATAAGCATGACTCCTGAATGCTTTGTGGCTTATTTTTGGTACTCCCTGAGCCAGTTGGAATCTCCCAGCCTTGCTGACTGGTCATGCAGCCTTAAGCCGCTATCCCCAGTTAGCAGCAAAAAGCTGGTCAGAGAGAGGCTCCAGGAGGCCACCTGGCCCCCCCTACTTCAAGTTACACTGCCCCTGGAGAAACCTAGACAGATGGTTGACTTTGTTTCCTTTTTAAATATGTTAAACTCTACAAACTCCCCTGGGTGATAAGATTCTGGTCTTTAACAAATCCAAAAAGTCACCGAATTCCTCCTGCAGACTCAGCTGCTGTCGTAAATGAATACCCTCACCCGAAGAATAGGAGTGAAGTTCAATTTTAACACCAATTACACCAAATTTTTCCTTGTGAAATACAAATTTGGGGAAAGTTGTTTTAATGCATAAGGCAATTTGGGACCAATTCATTTTGGTTACCTCTGATTTCCACCACAGGGAACTCATTGGAGGACTAATATAGAGTCTTTGTGGCACATTCCAAGGGCCAAGAAGTTGGATTTTGTTTCCCCCCGATAACCCAAATGACCAGTCTGTTTTCCACCATTTGGTAGAGTCCTTGAACCTGAAACCTCACCAGATAGCATTTCATTGCATGCATCTAGACTACAGCATCTGAGTATATCTTCCTCAGGAATATGAAGCTGAAAAATACTGGATTTTTTCAGTATTACTGATATCCTGACCTTTCTCTGTCTGCATTCATCCCCCAAGGAGCAAGATCTATATCTTCCTTTTTCCAAACTTGTGAACTTGTGAAGGTGAGGTCATATCTTAGCGCTCTTATCACACAACCTGGCCAGGGCCAGGAGAAATGAGAAAATTACACTCTAGCGATGTTAGTGGGTGAACTGGTGGCAGGACATACAGGTGGACACCAACAATTTAGATTGCTTTTAATTATAGAAGTAGTAAATGTACATAGGGAAAAATGTTAATACAAAAAGGATATGAAATTAGAAAAAGAAAAAGATCCTTTTTCTTCTCCCTATCCAATTCCCGAGAGGCCACACTGTTGTTTCTTGTGTAAAGAAAGACATGATTTAGACAGAGACACTAAGTTTGAGTGTTGCTATTAAACCACATATAACTTTTAGGAAATTGTGAATGCTTGCCTTTTACACAAGACAAACAGCTGATAACCCAGCCACCTCTCCTGCTGATACCATATTTTCAGCATTTGATACCAGAGAAATTTTCTACAGTCTCTGCCACAATGATAGTAGGTTGTTCCATTTAAAAGAAACCCTGTTTGGGCTTCCCTGGTGGCTCAGTGGTTGAGAGTCCGCCTGCCGATGCAGGGGACACGGGTCCGTGCCCTGGTCCAGGAAGATCCCACATGCCGCGGAGCAGCTGGGCCCATGAGCCATGGCTGCTGAGCCTGCCGCTGAGCCTCCGGGAGCCTGTGCTGTGCAATGGGAGAGGCCACGACAGTGAGAGGTCCTCATACCGCAAAGAAAAAAAACAGAGAAATCCTGTTTAAGTTAATGTCCTATTCATGGTGAGTCATCTTTCACTTTTAGTGGGGGAAAAAAAAAAAATCTTTGCTTCAGGGTGGGGCTGCATTCAAGTTTAGGTGTTCATCCAGAAGCTTTGGATAATCTGAGTTGTCTGCACTTCTCAGGAATGAGGCAGGAATCAGGAGTGGCTGACTATCCTTAGAAATTTGCAGTCCTTGCATCAGTATCAGTCAGTCCCATTTTCCCTGCTGGGAAGGTTTCTCTATCTATGGCTCCTTGTCCCCTTTTTTCATTTCTCCCTCATTAACTAATTTGTAGAGTAGGCATCAGACCATATGCAGCCTTGGAAGGGAAGTAGTTGACTTTGCCAGCCCTGAAACCCATCCCCTCTCCGCCCCCCATGTTGAGGCCGCAAAGAACATCAGGATACAGTCATTTCAGCTAGTGGGTTTTTCTTTGTTTTTTGGGTTGTTTTGTTTTGTTTTGGCTGCGTTGGGTCTTTGTTGCTGTGCGCGGGCTTTCTCTAGTTGTGAGCGGGAGCTACTCTTCGTTGTGCTGTGTGGGCTTCTCATTGCAGGGGCTTCTCATTGCGGAGCACGAGCTCTAGGTACACGGGCTTCAGTACTTGTGGCACACAAGCTCAGTAGTTGTGGCTCGCGGGCTCTAGAGCGCAGGCTCAGTAGTTGTGGCGCATGGGCTTAGTTGCTCCACGGCATGTGGGACCTTGTTCGAGCCGGACCAGGGCTCGAACCCATGTCCCCTGCATTGGCAGGCAGCTTCTTAACCACTGTGCCACCAGGGAAGGCCTAGGTTTTTTAAAAGAAGAAAAAACGTTTATATCTACTAGTGGCTCTCAGATTGTATTTCTTCCATTGGCAGCTCAGGTTTCCTCATGCTCTAAGTATAGCTATATTTGCCCTGAACTCTTCCTCTGATGGTCAGAAAACTGAGGCTTGTGCTTTCAGCTAGTGGGGGATGGGGTGGGGGATAAGAGTTAACATGTTTTTCCTAAACAAAGAGGAGAATGGTACCTTGTAAGTTAGGCATCCATATACCCGACTGGCCCAGGACAGTCAGTTTATTGAGACATAATCATTAATTGCACCCCTTTTCATTCTCAAAAGTGTACTGGTTTGGGCTTCCCTGGTGGCACAATGGTTGAGAGTCCGCCTGCCGATGCAGGGGGACACGGGTTTGTGCCCCGGTCTGGGAAGATCCCACATGCCGCGGAGCGGCTGGGCCCGTGAACCATGGCCGCTGAGCCTGCGTGTCCAGAGCCTGTGCTCCGCAATGGGAGAGGCCACAACAGTGACAGGCCCGCTTACCACAGAAAGAAAAAAAAAAGTGTACTGGTTTGAACAACAAAGTATATAGTCACCTAACTTGTATGCTACATTAAGGATTTGTGATACATGCCCATGAAAAGATAGTGAGCTCCTTAAGGTAGTAGTTAAGTTCTGTATGAGAATCCCAAGTGCCAGAAGCTGGAAGTGCAGGGGAAGGGACTGCTGTGGCCCAGGTGCAGGGAAGGCTTCACAGAGAGAAGGGGCTTGCGGTTGGGCTTGACTGGACAGCAAGGGCTAGAGAAAGGAGAAGACGGAAGGGAGCTCATCTGTACTACTACAGAGTAGGCTCTTGTGTGCGATCTCATTTAATCCTCATAACAACTTCATGAAATTGGTTACAGTAGTATCCTTATTTTTATATGAGGAAAAAGAAGCTTAGAGAGGCCAAAGTCCCACAGAGCTGAGATTCAGCTCCAGTCTGTGGTCTTTTCAAATGGCAGTTCTGCTGATTTCAGACAGAGAAGAACAAATAGTGCAAAGGACAGCGCTGGGAATGTGCACATCATGTATTGTGGGTGGCAAATGGACCAGTCATGGTGGGGTAGTGGTGGGTGCTGACAGGGGAAAGGAATGCCACCACCTCCCTTGGTTGTTCCTGTTCCAGGATTTGCTGAAAGTCCCAGAGTATTCCTTTTGTGTTAGCTCCTTTTGTTTGCTGTCTGAGCTTGACTGAGCACAAGGGGTTAGTTATTGACCTTCCTCTGGGGGTCATTTCTCCTCCCCTCAGAGCCATGAAGTTGCATTTGGTCCCTACTTTCTGCTTTTCTGCTTAATCTTCTCTTGGTGCTGGGGATCTGACTGATCCTGATTCGGCTGCCACTTGGAATGAAACAGCACTAACATGAGTTTTGGAAAGATTCTCCGAGGGCCTCTTCAAGCCCAGCAATAGGCCTCTCCCCCTTGCTCTGCCTTTTCTCTGTTCCTCTTCCCTTTATTCTCCAGAGTCAGGGCCATATGGCCTCTCATGTTTGTATAGTTCCCTCTCTAGAGAACATGGTGCCTTCCCTTACTGCTTCAGTGATCAAGTTATCTCAGCAGCCACTTATCTCAAGTGCTTTGTTGCCACTTTGGTCCACAGCCATCTGGACAGTTCTTGGTATCCAGGAAACAGAGGGGCCTTCTCTGGTATCAGGAGGACGAATTGCAAGTCAGAGGAGTTAATATAGGCCTTGGGTCTTGGGTACAGAATTCTCATATTGTGTTGGCAAAGAGTTTAATATTGAGAAGAATCTTCCCACTCCCATGCTGTTCAGTATGAATGGGTCTTGGCTGCCCCCCTCTTGAAATAGGCTTAGAGAAATGGGCACAGGGGAGAACCTAAGGGCAGACTTTCCCCAGAGGCCCTTTGCCCAAAACCTTGACAGATAACCTCTGCCTTTTGTCCTTCTCTCTAGGGATGGGAGTAGGAGATGGAGAAGAGGGTGGTTTAAAAATAAGAACCTTTCTAGTTACGAGATAGGACAATTTATGCCACCAGAAGTCTTCTAAAATTGTCCCTTTCTGGCTTTGGCTTTCTGGGCAAGTGAGGGGAGTGGGTAACAGCCAATACAAGGAAGCTGATTCTAGGTTCTCTTTTTTCCTAAAGGTACATTACTTGATAAACTGTTCCTTGTTATGTTTTATTCCTCTGAACACCTTTCCCACTTTTCTAAACTCTTCTATCTAGCAAATCTTCCCTGATTGAAGAAGCCAGAGTGGATTTTCACCTTTCTGTAACCCAGTAGTTCTCAACTGGGGGTGATTTTGCCCCGCAGGGAATATTTGGCAAAGTCTGGAGACATTTTTGATTGTCATGACTGGAGGTGCTGCTAGCATCTAGTGGGTGGAGTTTGGGGGATGCTGCCAAACACCCTGCAATGCACAGGACAGCAGCCCAGTGCTGAAATCAAGAAACTAGTGTGTTGCTTTTGTCTCTATTATTCCTTCCTCTCTTTCAGAAGTAGGCTGAGATAGAAATTCAAAAGTAAACTGGTAAGATAGAATCCTCGTGCCTAAGCTGAGCCATGGACTGTATAGTCTCATTCCACCTGGCCAAATGCTTCTACTTGGAATGAAATAATAATTCTTACAGTGCCTACCCCTTGGGTTGTTTTGAGGATTAAATGATCAGCTAATGCATGTAAAAATATTAGAACAGTACATGGGGGATTTCCCTGGTGGTGCAGTGGTTAAGAATCCGCCTGCCAATGCAGGGGACACGGGTTCAATCCCTGGTCTGGGAAGACCCCACATGCCTCAGAGCAGCAAAGCCTGTGAAGCCTGTGCACCACAACTACTGAGCCTGTGTTCTAGAGCCCGTGAGCCACAACAAGAGAAGCCACCACAATGAGAAGCCCGAGCACCACAATGAAGAGTAGCCCCCACTCGCCACAACTAGAGGAAGCCCTCACACAGCAACAAAGACCCGACACAGCCAAAAAAAATTTTTAAATACATGGCACACTCAATAGATATTTTGAAACAAAACCCCTCTCTTTGCTATTGTGGGCACCTTTAGGTTTTTTTTGTTGTTGTTGTTTTTGTTTTTGTTTTTTTGCGGTACGCGGGCCTCTCACTGCTGTGGCCTCTCCCGTCATGGAGCACAGGCTCCAGACGCACAGGCCCAGTGGCCATGGCCCACAGGCCCAGCCGCTCCACGGTCCCACGAGGCACATGGGACCCTCCCGGACCGGGGCACGAACCCGCGTCCGCTGCATCAGCAGGTGGACTCTCAACCACTGCGCCACCAGGGAAGCCCAACACCTTTAGGTTTTAATGAATTTTATTTAAAATTCTGGTAGGGAGATGCAAGGGAACAAGATTAATAATAACGACAGATATGCCTCCCTCCTCAGAGTTCTTATCAGCAGAAACTTTTCAAAGCTTTAAAAATAAAAGTTCCAGCAGCAGCAGCAACTGTTCTTGCTTTAATCTGAACCTGCTGGGGAAAGTGTCTGTCTCTTGCGTGTGAGAGTGTTGTTTATATCTGGTTATGGTTGAAGCTCCTCTGGGTAGGGGGAGTTTTCATGGACTAGATATCTAAATAATGGACTAGATCTTATTTTTACCTTTATTTTCAAAGTCTGTTCACCTATTCTCATGATTTAGAAATGCAAGAATTCTTTTCCCTATTTTAAAAATGGGGAAAAAGTACAAACCAGCATTGTTATGGTTTGAATACATCAGCTACCCCAGATGCTTTACTTTTGACTTCTCCTCAAGTGCCCAGAGAAGCATAAGAATGATTTACTGCTGTTCTTCTGAAAGTTAACATTCAAGGAGACAGTGTAGTAGAGAGGAAGGAGCACTTTTCCACTAACTATAGATTTGTGTGGAATGCTTAAAGCTTAGCTAAAACACTTATGCCCTCTTAACTAATATCCTTATCCATGAACTGAGGACCCATAAGACTATATGACCTACCTCCTCTGTGAAGATCAGTGAGAGGATGTGTGTGCAGCCGTACATGAGTATAAGGTAACCAGAAATGGATAGAGATGCTTTTGTTAATTTCCCACTCTCCTGCCTCTCTAGGAGTCCCGACCCATACATGTTGTGCTGGGAAATGAAGCCTGTGACTTGGACTCCATGGTGTCAGCTCTCGCCCTGGCTTTTTATCTGGCAAAGGTGAGTACCTAGGAACAGAGTGCCTTAAAATGAAAAGATTTGGATTCAAGACCCAGCTCTGCTACTTAACAGCATTTAGCCTTGGGTAAGTCAGATTCCTTAACTTTGCTGAGTCTCCTGTCACCAGCTATAAAATCTGAAATGATAATATTTTGCAGTGTTGCTGTGAGGATCAAATGTATTTTGAAGAATTTGTAAACTATAAAGCAATATTCAAACAGTTAACTATTGAATTCCTTATGGGTATAAGTGGTCTGTGTATGTTCCTTATGCCCACGTCAGCTCTGGAGGACTGATATTGCCTTCTCTCCAGCATCTAGAAGTAGGTCTTTTCCATGAGTTGTCTTGTTGACCTTCATGCTATTGCCAAGAAGGAGAGAGGGGAAGGGTCATCCTTTTATTTTGATAAGACTGGGTAACTGCGGCTTTGAGAAAGGCAGTGACTTACCCAAGATCATGTCTCCCTTGGTCCCAATAGTCTTGTGACTTTTCCTATCCTATTACAGAACATAGCCATAACTTCTTTTCACTTTCCTCTCTAGACAACTGAGGCTGAAGAAGTCTTTGTGCCAGTTTTAAATATAAAACGTTCTGAGCTACCTCTACGAGGTGACAATGTCTTCTTCCTTCAGAAGACTCACATTCCAGAGTCCCTCTTAATTTTCCGGGATGAGATTGACCTCCATGCATTGCAGCAGGCTGGCCAGCTCACCCTCATCCTTGTTGACCATCATGTCTTACCCAAGTAAGTGGAAGAAAGTTAAGCTGATACTTACCATGTGCCATGGGCTGTGATGAGTAAGGTTTTTAAAGAGTAGAAGAAAGAATGTTTTCTCACAGGATCTCACAGGCTAAGCATAGTTGATGGGTGATATCAGATATAGAAAGACAATAAAAGAATATTGTCAGTTCTCTAGTTACACGAGTAATAAAAAGAAATAGAAACATGGAGAGTTCAAACTAAAGGATAACTCAGAAATATTGTAAATCTACCTTTGGTACCATTGTTTTAAGATTTCATGGCAGATTTATTACAATAGAAACCTTTGAATAATGGTTACAACGGCATTTTTAACTTTAAAAAGTTAGCGACATCATTTCCTCCATAAAGCAATATCTCTTTAATGCTATTTAACAAACATACACACCTATAATAATCCCATCCCTAATTTAGGACTGGAAAAAAACTGCCAACAAAGCAATACGAGTACAAGACCTTCCCAAGTGTGTCTAGCTCCTGCTAATAGTAATATGAATATTTTTTCCTTAAGCACACTGGTTATAGCAGGACATTGACAGAGGACAGCCTAAGGGTACTAATCCATCTATCCACTCACTCATTAATAAACTTCTATTTAGAGGATGAAGGTGAGGTAGAATCTCTGTTCTCAAGAAGTTGTCAGTCAGAGGAGGGAACTAGGTAAACAGGTCATTGTAATGGGTGTTAGAGGTAAGTGGTGACCGTCACTCTAGGGGACAGTAGTTACATGAAGGATGGAGTGGTTAAATATGCAAGAGGGGAGTAGAGGGGAGTGTCAGGAAAGGTTTCCTAATGGAGTTGATCCTTGATCTCAGTCTTGAAAGACTAGGTATTTGCTTGGTGAATGAGGAGTTGAGGTAGTTAGCAAAACGCAGGCAGGTATGAAATAGCATGGTGAGTTGGGAGAACTGAGATTTGTTTTGCATAACTGGAACATAAAATATGAGGGAGGAGTAGGACATAAAAAAGATAAGACTAGAGAGATAGGCAGGGGCCAGATCATGGAGATCTAGGCCTTGCCAAGGAGATTAGACTTTATTTTGAGCAGTGGGGAACTATTGTTAATTCTATTTATTCCAGATCCTAGCAGAACCAAATTTGCATTTTTCAAATACTCTTTCAGGTAGTCTTATGGAGGACAGTTTCGGAGGGCACTGGAAGCAGGTGTTTGGTTAAGGAACTATTGGAGTAGTTCAGATGAGAGAGATTGAGGGCCAAGAATAAGGCAGTAGCAGAGGGTTGGAAAGGAGGGAATGGATGGGAATTGAGCCAGAAGCCACAGGTGACCTGCATGAAATTTGGATATTAAGTGAATTGAGGGAACAGGAGAGATTTAGATGTTGGGTGTCCAGGTGTCAACTGGAAAGACAACCCTAAAGGATATCAAATATGTGGGTGAAATACTGGTAGCAGATACTTCGTCAAATTCACCTATACGGTGTTTAAAGATGGCTTTATTATAATATTTAAGAGAAGAACTGAGAGGAGTGAGGCAGAGGTAGAAGTGATCAAAGGCCTAAGTGTCTGCCTATGATGTCTGTTTTCTTCATGAGTGAGGTGCAGCTGGAGTGCCCCTACCTATCTTTCTTTCTCTTTTCCCCGACACCTCCCCCCTTTCCCACACAGAAGTGACGCAGCCTTAGAGGAGGCAGTAGCAGAGGTGCTAGACCATCGGCCCATCGATCAGAAACACTGCCCTGCCTGCCATGTTTCAGTTGAGCTGGTGGGGTCCTGCGCTACCCTGGTGGCCGAGAGAATCCTGCAGGGGGCACCAGAGATCTTGGACAGGCAAACTGCAGCCCTTCTTCATGGTGAGGGTGGCCTGGGGGTTGGGACCTGATTAGTTCCTTTATTCCCATGCCAGAGAAGGGAAAGTGGAGAAGTCTAGACTCTTCCAGCCTGACCACACCCTCTCAAAGCCATTTAGTAGATATGAAGGAAGGGATTCTTTCAGGGGGCAATTAGGCATTAAAAAGGCTGTGGGATACTTTGTCCTTTGAAGGCCTGTGGAATACTTTGTTGAAGAAAGCAGAAAGGAAGCACAGAACAACAGACCTAGAAGCTGCCTATTAGTAGCATTGTATAATGGAAAGAGGACTAGCCAAAGAAGCAGGAAATGAATTCTAATACCATTTCTGCCCAGGAAGTAGTTATATGACCTTGAGCAAATCTCTTAACCTTTTTTGTTCTTATTTTCTCCATTTGTAAAAAAAGAGAGAGAGAGAATTGGATTAGACTGTCTCTTCCAACTGGAATTTGGCCTGTGGAAGAGAGGTCATCTCTCTCTGACTAGGTTTCAGAATCTCCAAGAATTGAGATATTTATACTTCCTTTCTACGTTTTCCCCATTTCCCTGACTACATTTTAGTTTGGATTTGGGATGTCTTACTCAAGGCATTGTCCCAGTTTGTTTTGTCTTCAGTGAGTTGCCATACAGTCTCCTTTGGTATTGTGTCCATTTGGTTTGAGGGTTATGTGTGTTCTAGTTGTCAGGAATGGAGGGCCACAGGATTTGAGTTCTGCCATCCTCCTTCTCCGCAGGAGCAATCATCCTGGACTGTGTGAACATGGACCTTAAAATTGGAAAGGCAACCCTAAAGGACAACCGATATGTGGAGAATCTAGAGGCCCTCTTCCCAGATCTGCCCAACAGAAATGATATCTTTGATTCTCTGCAAAAGGCAAAGTTTGATGTATCAGGTATGAAGTGTTAAACTGGTGGACAAAAGCCTTGTTCATTATGTTCTTGAATACCGTCAAAACAATTTCAGAGCATGCAATAATGATTTAAGCTTTATACCAGAAAGAAACTAGGTAGTGTGTGAGTCTGATCATGAATTAATCAGTCATTTACTGGATTGTTCTATCCTGGCTATTGGGTGGATGAGAAGGAATATATTAAGAGTCTCAGAGGTTTCTAGTCTAATTAGAGAATATAGACATATAAATAAAGTATGCTGAGGGAATACAGTCGTCCCTTGGTATCTGCAGGGAATTGGTTCCAGGATACCCCACAGATACCAAAATCCTCGGATACTCAAGTCCCTTACATAAAATGGCATAGTATAATGAATACGGTCGGCCCTCCTTATCTGCGAATGTGAAGCCCATGGATACAGAGGGCCAACTCTACTGAATTATCAGAGTGAGATCTAGATAAATGGTTAGGGAAGCAGAAGAAACACTTAGGGTGAATATACAAAGGACGAAGGAAGAGAACAAAAAAAATCCATGATTTGTTACCCAGCTACTGCCTGTTGACGTTAAAAAAAGAAAAAAGAGAGGTCCCACTTGTACTTTTAGAAAAGTAAAACAACACAGAATGGGGAAAATCAGGAGTAAAAGCCTCTCTTCTTCCATTTACCCTTCTCCCCAGAGTCCCTTGCTCTAAAGGTACCTATTGTGACCCAGTAATCGAAAGTAATTTTTTATTTAGAGTAAATTTCTACTGGGACTTCCCTGGTGGTTCAGTGGGTAAAACTCCACGCTCCCAGTGCAGGAGGCCTGGGTTCGACCCCTGGTCGGGGAACTAGATCCCACATGCATGCCACAATGAAGATCCTGCATGCCACAACTAAAGACCCAGTGCAGCCAAAATAAATAAATAAATATTATTTTAAATGAATAAATAAATTTCTATTATATAATTACATCCCCTGTTACTAGCCCTGTTCATTGCTGCAAAGAGAGGCTGTGTTTTTCCTCTTCCTTGGCCTGTCTTGGTGTCCTCGCCTTCCTGGTCTTGGGACCCTGGGTTCTCTTGGTTCTCTTGTTTCACCCTTAGTCTCACATCCACTTTCTAGGACTGACCACAGAGCAGATGCTGAGAAAGGACCAGAAGACCATCTCCAGACAAGGCACCAAGGTGGCCATTAGTGCAATATATATGGATTTGGAGGTAAGAGCAAGATGTAGGTGTGGGTGGAGAGAGAAAACCTTTAGTTTTGTATGTAACCTTGCCCCTCACTCCTGACTCACCTCCAAAATGTATCTTACCCCTCCTTTTCTCCATCTCTACACAGTCCATCGTCTCTCACTGCACTACTGTAATGGCCCCCATGCTGGTTTCCCTGCCTCCACTTTTGACCCCTGCAAACTGTTCTCCCCACAGCAGCCAGAGTGATCTCTTTAAGGCATGTCAGATCCAGGGGAGTAACCTGATGGTCTGGTGGTTAGGACTCAGCACTTTCACTGCTGCGGCCTGGGTTCAGTCCCTGGTTGGGGAACTGAGATAAAAAAAAAAAAGATATGTCAGATCCTATTGGCCCCCTCCCTTTACTGCCTTTTCATTGTACTTCTAATAAAATCTAAAGGCCTTACAGTGGTTTATAGGGCCCTCCTTTGTTAGGCCTTTGTCCTTTTCTCTGACTTCTTCATTCCAGCCCCATTCCTACACTCACAGTACTGTAACCACCCCAGTTTTCTTTCTGTTTTTCAGAACCATTAAGTTCACTCTTAGCTCTCAACTCAGAGCCTTTGCACTCCTTTTGCAGAGCTGGCTCCTTCTTTTCATTTAGGACTTAGCTCAGGTGTCTTCTCTTTCAGGAGGTTTTTCCTGACCACCCTAACTAAAGTAATATCCTCCGTGCTCAAAAATCTCTAAATATTACTTTTTTTTTTTGTACATGCAGCTTGTGGGATCTTAGTTCCCTGACCAGGGATTGAACCTGGGCCCCCTGCAGTGGAAGTATGGAGTCCTAACCACTGGACTGCCAGGGAATTCCCATTTTGTTTTCTTCATAGCACTTAGCACACTGAAATAATCATGTTTCATGGTTTCCTTGTTTATTGTCTATATTCCTCTGATAGTGTATCAGCTCCACCAGAGCAGAGACCCTATTTCTTTTGTTTCTGCTGTATCTCCAGCACCTTTGACAATGCCTGGCACATAGTGGATGTTCAGTGAATTTTGTAGAATGGGTGAATGAATATAACTCTGATAGTGGTATTTTAATACCTGGCTCCATATCTTATTGGTTTAAATCATCCATCTAATCTGAACACATACTCTCATAGACTGCACAGCTTTCTCCTAAATAACATGTAAACATTTTTACTAAATAATTAACTGAAACAGAATAGCATGGCCTCTTCCCTTGCTACTTCTAACCTAGTTTGGTAACCAAACATAAGAACACAAAAGGCTTGCCGAGTACCATAATCATAGTACAAATTGACTCATTAGAAATGCTAAGGATAAAGAAAAGCCCTGATCTAAAGCAGCTGGTGGTATTATTCATTGGAGGATGCGTGGAGGAGATTTTGGAGAATAATATAGATAGATAAAGAATGAAGAGCCAAGGATGCAGTTGTTGTGTGTCTGTACTTATTTGTATGCGCCATTGTTCTGTTTTAGAATAAAAATACCCTCAAGGCAAAGACCTTGCTTGATTGATTGCAAGAGCAGGATAGCCTTGGACATACCAGGCACATTACGTACATTATCTTTTTTTTTTTTGCATTACACGGGCCTCTCACTGTTGTGGCCTCAGGCTCCGGATGCGCAGGCCCAGCAGCCATGGCTCACTGGGCCCAGCTGCTCCGCGGCATGTGGGATCTTCCCGGACCAGGACACGAATCCATGTCCCCTGCATCGGCAGGCGGACTCTCAACCACTGTGCCACCAGGGAAGCCCCATTATCATTTTTAATTCTTAAAACAATCAAGTTTGGTAAATGATTTACCCTCATTTTACAGATGAGGAAACTTAAGTCCAGGGATCCTTGATCATATAGGTAACAGAGCTGATTTTCAAACCAATTCTGTCTGAACCCAAAGCCTCATTCTGTGAGGCTCATAGAATGGCCTCATAGAAAGGCTCATTCTCCTCATTCTATGTATTGCCTGCCAGCACATAAATAGCACAGAGTAAACATTAGATACCTTTTTTATGGAGTACAAGTCCCAGGTTAAGAAACATGCAAAGAAACCCTTCATAAGCATCTTCTGTTGAGGGTGATAATGAGGATCCAGCGGCAGCCCTCATCCCTGTCCATTTCTTCTGTTTTAGGCCTTTCTGCAGAGGTCTGGCCTCATTGCAGATCTCCATGCCTTCTGCCAGGCTCACAGCTATGATGCCCTGGTCGCCATGACTATCTTTTTCAACACTTACAATGAGCCAGTGCGGCAGTTGGCAGTTTTCTGTCCCCACACAGCACTCCGAGTGACGGTGAGTCCCTGTCCCTTCTCCAGCCTGAGGACCCTACAGAGTTCTGCCTGTACGCACTGTCCTGTGCTGTAAAGACCTCTCCTTCGTTCTTGTATTTATCCAGAGGTCCTTGATCTGTTTCCAGAATCACTACTACCTGCTTTTTTCCATTCTCTCTATGTGTGAATATCCTTAATCATACTCTTGTTGAGAAAGGGAGATTCCAAAGAGAATTAGAGACACAATTCCTACTTAGAAGAAATTGAAATCAGGTTAAAAGGACTTGTTATAAATCTGGAGTTAAAACTTGATTCTTGGTTTAAGCATTAATTCCTCACCCCTGAAAATCAATTCCTTTCTTTTTACCTTATTGCCTTGAAAATTGGAAACAGACGAGAAACCTTTTCTACTACTTAACCAGTTTGTGCTAACTCTATAGAGAAGTGGTCTAGGAGCAGGTTTGGTTTTTTTCCCTGATCTTCCATTTAGCTACCTTTCCCACCTCCTCCCCTTTCTTTTCCTCTGTTGGTTACTGATAAGCCCAGGGAAGAATTTAAAAGTGGACTTAAGGCAGTCCAGGGATTCTTTGAATTTCTTAGCAGTGAGGACTGCTGAAGACTGGTCTGAATACAGCTGGATAATCTTTTTTGTGCATGAAAGGTATGTCTGCCCCTTCCCACCTCTCTTTGTCTTTATCTTCTCCTCCAGGAAGCAAATGTAATTTCATTCAGTGGAAAGTAGTTTGGTATTGTGGAAAGAACTACATCCTTTAAAGGCAGATAGATAGGCTTTTCTGTCCCAGATTTGCCACTTACTTGCTCTTTGACCAAAGGCAAGTCAGTTGACTTCTGATTCTGTAAATGTCATATTACCATCTACTAATTAGTGTGATGTAATCATTAAACATAATGTCATATGTAAGGTTCATTGCTGGGCACAATTCTTTCTTGCTAATCATGTCATGAAGGAAAGGGTGCTTTGACCGTACGAAGTACCTCTCCCCACGTTCCTAAATCTCCCCTCCTTCTCCCTGCCATGGTCCCTCTGGAACTCTGTAGGTATCTGATAACTCTACCATTGCCCAGGCTGCCTCTGTGCTGGAAAATGGTAGTCCTCTTTTCACCATCTGCCCTACCATTTCCTCTCTTCCTCCTTTGTTAGAAATAGTATAATATAGTAATTTAGAACACTAGCTCTGATGACAGACCTGAGTTCAAGTATCAGCTTTGTTTCATTCAAACTTGACCTTTGGCGACACATAGTAATCAAACTGACAATTAAAGACAAAAAACTATTAAACGCAACAAGGGAAAAATGACAGATAACATACAAGGGAAATCCCGTAAGCTTAACAGCTGATTTCTCAGCAGAAACTCCACAAGCCACAAGGGAGTGGCACAATGTATTATACTTTTTTTTTTTTTTTTTATTGTGGTACATAGGCCTCTCACTGTTGTGGCCTCTCCCGTTGCAGAGCACAGGCTCCGGACGCGCAGGTTCAGCGGCCATGGCTCACGGGCCCAGCTGCTCTGCAGCATGTGGGATCTTCCCGGACCGGGGCATGAACCCATGTCCCCTGCATCAGCAGGCAGACTCTCAACCACTGCTCCAGCAGGGAAGCCTGGCACGATGTATTTAAAATGATGAAAGGGAAGAACCTACAACCAAGATTACTCTATCCAGCAAGGATCTCATTCAGATTCGATGGAGAAATCGAAAGCTTTACAGACAAGCAAAAGCTAAGAGAATTCAGCACCACCAAAACAGCTCTACAACAAATGCCAAAGGAATTTCTCTAAGTGGGAAACACAAGAGAAGAAAAGGACCTACAGAAACAAACCCAAAACAATTAAGAAAATGGTAATAGGAACATACATATAGATAATTACCTTAAATGTGAATGGATTAAATGCTCCAACCAAAAGACACGGGCTCACTGAATTGATACAAAAACAAGACCCATATATATGCTGTCTACAAGAGACCCATTTCAGACCTAGGGACATATACAGACTGAAAGTGAGGGGATGGAAAAAACATATTCCATGCAAATGGAAATCAAAGGAAAGCTGGATTAGCAACACTCATATCAGATAAAATGACTTTAAAATAAAGACTGTTACAGGAGACAAGGAAGGACACTACATAATGATCAAGGGATCAATCTAAGACAAAGATATAACAATTATAAATATATATGCACCCGACATAGGAGCACCTAAATACATAAGGCAAATGCTAACAGCTATAAAAGAGAAAATCTACAGTAACACAATAATAGTGGGCGACTTCAACACCTTCCTTACACCAATGGACAGATCATCCAGACAGAAAATTAATAAGGAAACAGCTTTAAATGACACAGTAGACCAGATAGATTTAATTGATATTTATAGGACATTCCATCCGAAAACAGCAGATTACACTTTCTTCTCAAGTGCACACAGAACATTCTCCAGGATAGATCACACCTTGGGTTACAAATCAAGCCTTGGTAAATTTAAGAAAATTGAAATCATATCAAGCATCTTTTCCGACTACAACACTATGACATTAGAAATAAGTTACAGGGAAAAAAACGTAAAAAACACAAACACATGGAGGCTTAACAATACGATACTAAATAACCAAGAGATCACTGAAGAAATCAAGGAGGAAATGAAAAAATACCTAGAGACAAATGACAATGAAAACACGACGATCCAAAACCTGTGGGATGCAGCAAAAGCAGTTCTAAGAGGGAAGTTTATAGCAATACAATCCTACCTCAAGAAACAAGAAAAATCTCAAGTAAACAATCTAACCTTACACATAAAGGCGAGAAAGAAGAACAAACAAAATCCAAAGTTAGTAGAAGGAAAGAAAAAGAGCAGAAATAAATGAAATAGAAACAAAGAAAACAATACCAAAGCTCAATAAAACTAAAAGCTGGTTCTTTGAGAAAATAAAGAAAATTGATAAACCTTTAGCCAGACTCATCAAGAAAAAGAGGGAGAGGACTCAAATCAATAAAATTAGAAATGAGGGACTTCCCTGGTGGAGCAGTGGTTAAGAATCCACCTGCCATAAATGCCCATCAACAGACGAATGGATAAAGAAGATGTGGTACATATATACAATGGAATATTGCTCAGCCATAAAAAGGAATTAAATTGGGTCATTTGTAGAGACATAGATGCATCTGGAGACTGTCATAGAGAGTGAAGTAAGTCAGAAAGAGAAAAACAAATATCGTATATTAACGCACATACATGGAACCTAGAAAATGGTACAGATGAACTGGTTTGCAGGGCAGAAGTTGAGACACAGAAGTAGAGAAAAAACGTGTGGACACCAAGGGGGGAAAGCAGTGGGGGGTGGGAGTTGTGATGTGGTGAATTGGGAAATTGGGATTGACATGTATACACTGATGTGTATTAAATGGTTGACTAATAAGAAAAAATAAATAAATTAAAAATTAAAAAATAATCCATCTGCCAGTGCAGGGTTTGAACCCTGCTCTGGGAAGATCCCACATGCCACAGAGCAGCTAAGCCCGTGCACCACAACTGCTGAGCCTGTGCTCTAGAGGCCATGAGCCACAACTACTGAACCCATGTGCCACAACTACTGAAGCCCACACACCTAGAGCCTGTGCTCTGCAACAAGAGAAGCCACCACAATGAGAAGCCTGTGCACCACAACGAAAAGTAGCCCCCACTTGCTGCAACTAGAGAAAGCCCACATGCAGCAACGAAGACCCAACGCAGCCAAAAATAAATAAATTTTTAAAATACAATTAGAAATGAAAAAGGAGAAGTTACAGCGGACATCGCAGAAATACAAAGCATCGTAAGAGACTACTACAAGCAACTCTGTGCCAATAAAATGGACAACCTGAAAGAAATGGACAAATTCTTAGAAAGGTATAACCTTCCTAGACTGAACCAGGAAGAAATAGAAAATATGAACAGACCAATCAAAAGTAATGAAATTGAAACTGTGATTAAAAATCTTCCAACAATCGAAAGTCCAGGACCAGACGACTTCACAGGTGAATTCTATCAAACATTTAGAGAAGAACTAACACCCATCCTTCTCAAACTCTTCCCAAACATTGCAGAGGAAGGAACACTCCCAAACTCATTCTATGAGGCCACTGTCACCCTGATACCAAAACCAGACAAAGATACTACAAAAAAAGAAAATTACAGACCAATATCACTGATGAATATAGATGCAAAAATCCTCAACAAAATATTAGCAAATAGAATCCAACAACACATTAAAAGGCTCATACACCATGATCAAGTGGGATTTATCCCAGGGATGCAAGGATTCTTCAGTATATGCAAATCAATCAATGTGATACACCATATTAACAAACTGAAGAATAAAAACCATACGATCATCTCAATAGATGGAGGAAAAGTTTTTGACCAAATTCAACACCCATTTATGATAAAAAAAACTCTCCAGAAAGTGGGCATAGAGGGAACCTACCTCAACATAATAAAGGCCATATATGACAAACACACAGCAAACATCATTCTCAATGGTGAAAAACAGGAAGCATTTCCTCTAAGATCAGGAACAAGACAAGGACATCCACTCTCACCACTATTATTCAACATAGTTTTGGAAGTCCTAGCTATGGCAATCAGAGAAGAAAAAGAAATAAAAAGAATACAAATTGGAAAAGAAGAAGTAAAACTGTCACTGTTTACAGATGACATGATACTATACATAGAAAATTCTAAAGATGCCACCAGAAGACTACTAGAGCTAATCAATGAATTTGATAAAGTTTCAGGATACAAAATTAATGCACAGAAATCTCTTGCATTCCTATACATTAACAATGAAAGATCAGAAAGAGAAATTAAGGAAACAATCCCATTCACCATTGCAACAAAAAGAATAAAATACCTAGGAGTAAACCTACCTGAGGAGGGAAAAGACCTGTACTCAGAAAACTATAAGACACTGATGAAAGAAATCAACAATGACACAAACAGATGGAGAGATATACCATGTTCTTGGATTGGAAGAATCAATATTGTGAAAATGACTATTCTACCCAAAGCAATATACAGATTCAATGCAATCCCTATCAAATTACCAATGACATTTTTTACAGAACTAGAACAAAAAATCTTAAAACTTGTATGGAGACCCACAAGACCCTGAATAGCCAAAGCAATCTTGAGGAAAAAAAGCAGAGGTGGAGGAATCAGACTCCCTGACTTCAGACTATACTACAAAGCTACAGTAATCAAGACAATGTGGTACTGGCACAAAAACAAATATAGATCAATGGAACAGGATAGAAATCCTAGAGATAAACCTGAGCACCTACAGTCAACTAATCTATGACAAAGGGGGCACAGATACACAATGGAGAAAAGACAGTCTCTTCAATAAGTGGTGCTGGGAAAACTGGACAGCTGCATGTAAAACAATGAAATTAGAACACTTCCTAGCACGATACACAATAATAAACTCCAAATGTATTAAAGACCTGAATGTAAGACTGGACACTATAAAACTCTTAGAGGAAAACATAGGAAAACATTCTTACACATAAATCACAGCAAGATCTTTTTTGACCCACCTCCTAGAGTAATGGAAATAAAAACAAAAATAAACCCATGGGACCTAATGAAACTTAAAAGCTTTTGCACAGCAAAGGAAACTATAAACAAGATGAAAAGACAACCCTCAGAATGGGAGAAAATATTTGCAAACGAATCAATGGACAAAGGATTAATCTCCAAAATATATAAACAGGTCATGCAGCTCAATATTAAAAAAAACAACCAACCCAATCCAAAAATGGGCAGAAGACCTAAATAGACATTTCTCCAAAGAAGACATACAGATGGCCAAGAGGCACATGAAAAGCTGCTCGACATCACTAATCGTTAGAGAAATGCAGATCAGAACTACAATGAGGTATCACCTCGCACCGGTTAGAATGGGCATCATCAGAAAATCTACAAACAACAAATGCTGGAGAGGGTGTGGAGAAAAGGTAACCCTCCTACACTGTTGGTAGGAATGTAAATTGATACAGCCACTATGGAGAACAGTATGGAGGTTCCTTAAAAAACTAAAAATAGAATTACCATATGACCCAGCAATCCCACTACTGGGCATATACCCAGAGAAAAACATAATTCAAAAAGACACATGCACCCCAGTGTTCATTGCAGCACTATTTACAATAGCCAGGTCATGGAAGCAACCTAAATGTCCATCAACAGGTGAATGGATACAGAAGATGCGATACATATATACAATGGAATATTACTCAGCCATAAAAAGGAACAAAACTGGGTCATTTGTAGAGACGTGGATGGACCTAGAGACTGTCATACTGAGTGAAGTCAGTCAGAAAGAGAAAAACAAATATCGTATGTTAACACATATGTGTGTAATCTAGAAAAATGGTACAGATGAACTGGTTTGCAAGGCAGAAATAGAGACACAGATGTAGAGAACAAATGTATGGACACCAAGGGGGTACAGCAGGGGTGGGGGGGTTGGGGGATGAATTGGGAGATTAGGATTGACATATATACACTAATATGTATTAAATAGATAATAAGAACCTGCTGTATAAAAAATAAATAAAATTTAAAAAAAAACAAAAACAAAACTTGACCTTCGGCAAGTTACCTAATCTAAGCCTCGGGGCTTCCCTGGTGGCGCAGTGGTTGAGAGTCCGCCTGCCGATGCAAGGGACGCGGGTTCGTGCCCCAGTCCGGGAAGATCCCACATGCCGCGGAGCGGCTGGACCCGTGAGCCATGGCCGCTGAGCCTGCGCGTCCGGAGCCTGTGCTCCGCAACGGGAGAGGCCACAACGGTGAGAGGCCCGCATACCGCAAAAAAATAAATTAAAAAAAAAAACAACTAAGCCTCAGTTTCCCTACCTGTAAATGAGGGTAATAGTAATACCAACCTGTAAGGTAGTTGTGAGGATTAAATGACGAAATTAATATTTGAAAATGGCCAGACGTGGCACGATGCCTGGCATACTTCCCACCCCAACTTGATCTATTTATTCTTTCTCTTCTGACCTCAGTATAGTAGATGCTTGTCCCATCTCAGCTAAGGATAGAGTTCAAGTTTTTGAGCACAGGAATGCGAATGCCCTTGCAAATAACAATATTCGAGGAGGTGGGAGTCCCAGATTCTGGTTCGTTCAGACTCATCATCTACATTCAAGGCACTTAATCTCTCTGGGCTTTGGTTTACTTATGAATAAAATGAAATATATCACCTCAAATGTTTAAAATACTGTGTGTATTAGTTGATGTGCCTTTGTTGCAAGCAGTAAAACCACCCTAGATGACTTAATTTAAAAAATATATTTTTTCTCCTCTATAAGAGAAGTCTCTTAGAAGTCTCAGCTTTTTGCTTCACCACCTTACATACCACCTCCCCATCTTGTCTCCTTTTTAGGTCTGTGGAGTCCTGGAACGCTCCCACTCTCCGTCCCTGAAGCTGACCCCTGCCCCAAGCATCCACCCTAACCTCCAAGCCTATCTTCAAGGCAACACCCAGGTCTCTCGAAAGAAACTTCTGCCTCTGCTCCAGGAAGCCCTGTCAGCATATTTTGACTCCACGAACATCCCTTCAGGACAGCCTGAGACAGAGGGTGTGTCCAGGGAGCAGGTAGACAAGGAATTGGACAGGGCAGGTAACTCCCTGATTCCTGGACTGAGTCAAGATGAGGAGGAGCCTCCACTGCCCCCCACACCCATGAACAGCCTGGTGGATGAGTGCCCTCTGGATCAGGGGCTGCCGAAATTCTCAGCCGAGGTCATCTTTGAGAAATGTAGTCAGATCTCACTGTCAGAATCTACCACTGCCTCCCGGTCCAAGAAATGACTGTTGGGAGGGGAGGGGGAAGTGAAAGAGGTTGCCTGAACCACCCTGAATGCATGTTTTGAGATGTTTCAGCAATTTTGTCTTCATTGTTCCAGGATCTGGTATACTGTTCTCATAAACCTAGGAGGAGAAAGAAGTAAAAGAAAGCTGAGCTGGCTTTCTCCCTTTTCCCCACAGTCTCTACCAATCAAACAAATTTTATTATTTAATTTAACTCCTTAAATCTGCACTGACTCTCCTCTATTTCATTTGCCAGGGTCATGATGTGATAACATACACAGTTTTAGCAGAGTGGCACAGAAAGAATGTGTACCCCAAAAGTGCCCTAAGTCAGGCTTTTTAACAGAGCCAGTATTTCTTATGGAACCATTCATTGTCTCCAGTGTTCATTTATTCTGTTATTAATTCAAGTATTTATTGAACACAATACCTACTTTTAGCTTCTTCCAGTTTTTAGCCTTTAGTTGATTTTCACCTCCATGACTCCTCTTTCTGCCCCCAATTAGGTGATGGTGTCTGATTCCCAGTTTGCTAAATTTCTATTCTGAGCTTACTGTGACTGTTTCGGGATTGTTTGGGAGCAGATTGGAGGCCATTATCTTCTGTCCTGATCAGCTGGCCTGACTCTCAGTTTCTTTGGATCCCTCTGACTCAGAGCCACAGGGACCCTGAAGAGACCCAGAAGACCCCCCTGGTTCTTGAGAGTTCAGGAGACACCTGGGAAAGCCTTAAGACTTCATGGGCGCTCTTCACAAAAGACAGTAGAACTACAATGAGACCCCTGGCTCTGTCGATTTCTTATCCATCTAATTTTCTCCTTGGGCATAGTAGAAGGAAACACGGAGTTCATACCGACTGCCATCAACTGTCTGTCTTTTGTCCAGACACTCACTCCTCTAGATCTCATTTCCCCATCTGCAAAACTGATGTTCCCTGGTTTCTGTGATCTGCCTGTTGCCACACCGTCCTTTCTTGCCTCTGCTTCTCTGGTTTTTTGTTTGTTTCTTTGTTTCTTTTTCCCTGGGAATGCTCAGGGTCACTGAATTGTCTGTTTATTTGTGATTGTACCAAGGTGCTCAGCCTCATGTAGCATGTACAGGGGTATGATTCATACCATAGTGACCCAGCAAAGAGCTCCCTTCCACTGACTTGTTCTGCATGTGTAGAGTCTCCCTTTTCTCTTCAGACCAACCTGTTCTCCCTTTTCCTACCCCACAGCTCTGCTCCCTGTAAGTTTTCAACGGTTTCGCTGAACAGTGGGGTATGTGATGGTTTTGGCATGATGTCTTCATATGAGGGAAACTGACTTCACTTTGAGGGGATGTTTGTAGCCATTGGAAGGTAAAATAGTGGCATGATTACTGAACCAAAGGAATTTATGTTTTGTAACTTGGGTACTTTTATTTTGCATTTTGTTAAAGTATTAAATACTTTTTTCCTGTTTGGGGCCTTATTGTCTCTTTTTACAACTATAATCAGGCCTTTCCCTCTGATAATTGTTTTAACCTTCTCAAGATTCATTTCCCTTCTTTCTGCTGTACATACTGTCTTCCTTCTGTTGACTCTTTTTGGGAATAAGGAGCAACAGTCTTATGTCTCCCCTCATCCTCAGCCTTTCCTTTAATTTGTTTCTTCCAGAACCCTCTTTATAACATACTTCTGTGTCCTTGATTCTGCTTATACTTGAAAAGTAGGCCCACGATAGTCTTAAAACTAAAATGGTTTCTACCATTACCTCTTTTTTTTTTTTAAAGCAGCTTCCAGAAGGCTTTAAGGAGTCTAGAAAATTGCCTTCTTTGACTCACCCAAAACTAGCCACTTTAGAATATGTAGTCTCCTCCCCAGAACCCGCCCCAATAGGCATGGTTTCTCTTTTGTGCAAACCTGCTTCTTCGGAAGGAAGGTGGCAAAACCTGTTTGAAGGTGAGGTTGCTTACGTCCCTTCCACCCTTCCCTCCTCCTTGGAGGCAAGAGCAACAACAGCTGAGACAGAGAAAAAGGGGATACAGAAGTGTTGGGGAGCTGAGACATCTGGCTCTCCGATAACTCCAAGTGTTTAAAGGCGACAGGAAGACTTCTGAAGATGGGAACTATACGAGAGGCAGGAGAAAAGACATTGGATCTCGGGTAAGGAAGACACTGGCTAACTTGATTGGAAACAAGGAGTGAATAGTCTTAAGGGACTTTCCCACCATCCAGCTCTTTCCAAGTCAAATCTCGGGTTCCTAGAGGAGATAAGACTGTAAGAGAATTAATTTGCAGAGAAGGGATGGAGGTGGCTTTAGGTAGGAAATATCAGTAAGGCATGGGAATTAGGGAACAAGGGATTCCAGGATAATTCCCTATTGCTTTTTTTTTTTTAAGGAAGTTTATATGTTTTGTTTTTGATAAATCTGCCCCATTTTCCGGTTTCTAATACCCACCCTCCAGAATGGCCATCAGGAAAGCTGACCCAGAACTAAGTTAAGGTCCAGGTTCTACTTCCCAGTAAATCTCTCTTCCTCCTTACCTTCTTCCCCTACCCCTCCACCGTGGTTTCCCCTCACCACTCCCTAGTGCGGTAGAGGAAAGGCAGGCCTGACTAGGTGACATCTTCCCTAACTTTGCAGTGACAGCTGGGCAGGTCTGTCAGGTTCCAGGCAATTGTAATGTGAAATACCTCTCACCCCTACTGTGCAGGTGGAGCAACTGCCAACAGGTAAAAATAATTAGCTTTACCTTCCATGCCTCCTCTGCTCCTAAACCCAACAGTAGGGGTGAAGGTGGTAGAAACATCTAGAAGACCAGAGATCTGACTTCTTTTTAAGGCCTGCCCTCTGCTCTGTACCTTCATTACTGCTCTTCATTCCAGTTCCCTTAAGGCACTGCCTAGTTTGTCTCATAATAATCTTTTTTTCTGGGAGACTATCTATAGGGTCAGGGAGAATGCAGAAACAGCAGTACTAGGAGCATCCTTGAGACTTGAGGAACTGGAGCTGAAGGAAGACTGGCAGGATGAAGAATTCCCTAGGTGAGGAAGTGTGAGCGAGGCTGGGAAAAGGGAGGGCTGGTCACAAATGGAGGGCAGCGATGGTAAATTGGGACTTGAAGGAAAGAGGTGGGGAAAAGAAAGAAGAGGTGATATGGCGGGGACACGGAATTGGTAAGTTGATACCAGCTTAATGCCTTTAGCCTATATTTCTTCCCCCTTTTCATCTTTTCCCCTCTAGATTGCTTCCTGAAGAGGCTGACGCTTCTGGAGACCCTCATAATCCTGAAAGAGACTCACAGGCAGGTAGGTAAATTAGAACCCAGGCCTCCCTGATTCTAGTCCGGGGAAGGGTTATGCCACCCTATCCCTTGTGGTTCTACTTCCCAAATGTCCCGTGTTAGTCCTTCTTTAGAATTCACCCCATATTATCACTTACATAGACAGGAATTCTAACATCCCCCACCAACACAAACCCATCTTTCTCTTCTTTTTTTTTCCCTCCTCCAACCCCAGGAACCCCCAGCACTTTAGCCCTGTGTGGCCCGCGCCCCATGCGTAAGCGTCTTTGTGCCCCAGAGTTGCGACTGAATCTGACTAAGGGGCCTGGAGATAATGGAGCCTCTCCCACCCACTCTGTACCTTCCTCTCCTGATGGCAGTTCTGACCTGGAGGTAGACGAGTTGGAGACACCTTCAGACTCGGAGCAGCTGGACAGTGGACATGAATTTGAACGGGAAGGTGGGAAAGAGAGCTGAAGACTGAGCTGGTAGAAGTAGAGGCCAGTGTTAAAAAAGCTCAGGATGGATTTAATGGTACTCAAGTTAGAACTAATAAGGTGGGGACCAAGAGGTAAGACCAGCAAAATTTCCTCAGAATGGAAAGGTAGAGCTTATTGGTCCAATGTGAGAGCAGTCAGTATAGCGGGAGAAGCGGGTACTTCATTTATTGAGGGAAGTTTTATAGAATAACTGTTATATTGCTATCATTGAGCTAGAACTGAGTTATAAAGATGAATAAGATAATCCCTACCCTCAGGGAATTCTCTGTTTAGTATGAAATAAACATATATACAAATAAGTGCAGTTAAAGGTTATGATCTACATGTGTATAGGGTACAGTGTAAACAGGGAGAAGGCAAAGGTCAGTTCCACCTGAGAGGTGTTAAGCAAGACTTCACAGAGGATGCCATTCTGAGCTTATCAGGTAGTTGGAGAGGCATTCTAGGTGGGAGAAGCAAATTGGGCAATAGCATGGCATGGTGGGGAATTCAGAGTATTAAGTATGACTATTCAGGTATTAAGGAAAACTTTGTTTCTTCTCTACTCACAGCACTTTTGACACCAAATGTATGGGTTTTCCCCACACCAACCGGTTCTCCAACTCTCCAGACACAAATTGGGTGTCCTACAATTCAGTCACAACACTTAACTGGAGTTAGCACAGACACCACAGGTTAAGGGCTCACCCACAAGACTGTCCCAGACTTCAGACACCAATCACACGTCCAGGTTGTCACCTGTGCATCTGACCGACAGGCAATAAATCAGAGGTGCCTGCCACCCCCTCCTCAGGTTTGATAATTTGCTAAAACAGCTCACAGAACTTGGGAAAACAGTTTACTTACTAGATTACAAGTTTATTATGAGAGGATACAGATCAGGAACAGCCAGAAGGAAGCAATACATAGGACAAGTTATGTGAAAGGGGGTGTGGAGCTCCGTGGGTGCACCACCCTCCCAGCACCTCCATGTGTTCACCAACCCAGAACCTCTCAGAACCCCTTCAGTTAGGGTTTTTTTATGGAGGCTTCATATGTAGGTATGATTGATTAAATCACTGACCATTAGTGATTTAGCACAACCTCCAGTCTCTCTCCCCTCCTCAGAGGTCAGAGGGTAAAATTTCCAAACCTCTAATCATGTGGTTGGTTGACCTGGCAACCAGCCACTCATCCACAGAAGTTTTCCAAAGTCACCTCATTAACATAAACTTCTGTGGTTGAAAGGGGCTCGTTATGAATAGGAAAAGATACCTCTTTTACCTTTATCATCAGGAGCTGTTTCAGAAGCTAGGAACAAAACCAAAATATATATTATTATATCACAGAATATAATATATATTCTGTGGCTGGGAGGTGAAGAGAGAATGACAAAAGACTGTGTTAAGTAGGCAAGGGTCAAATCATGGAGGTCCTTGCTGCCACACTGAGTTTAGATTTTATCCTGTAGGCAATGGGGAGTCCCTTGAATGGTTTTAATCAAGGCACTAACATGATCAGATTTGATGGCTTTCAAAAGATTGAAAACAATCTGAAGGTCCATAAATAGGATGTTATTCTACAATATTACAGTACATCCATACCATGGAATACTAAATACTAGGCACTATTTTTTAAGGTGAAGCAGCCCTTTTTATTGCTATGGGAAGATCATGCAAAATTAGTGAGTATAGTATATTGTATTTTATGTATATTGCCATTTGAGTGAAAAAGGGAGAGAAGAAAAGAAAGCTTGCTCTAGCAGTGGTGTAAAGGGTAGAATGGAGGAAAACAGACAAGAGGTAGGGAGACGAGTTAGGAGGCTAGTACTAAGGCCAGATGAGAAAGGCTCAGAACCTGTACCGGGAAAGAATGATAAAAGGAGGATATAATGGAGATAGATGGAGGAGGATCTGGGGTCCTGTTGGCTTGACGGCTGGTAGAGAAGAAAGAGTCTCGGATGACAAAGGGTTTTCTCTCTCAGGCAACTAGATGGATGGTGTCATTCATCAAGAAAGAATATGAGAGAGAGGAGGAAGAGAATGAGTGAGTTGCACTTGGAGTCTGGTGACTTGGAGATGACAGAGAAACACAAAATAGTGATGTCCACTCTAGGCATTTAGGGATATGGGTCTGGTGGTAGGAGAGAAGTCTGGGTTAGAAAGGAATCATCACCTTACTGGCAGTAATTGAATACATGGGATTAAATGAGCTCACCCAAGGAAGGAAAAGCATGGGCAGAAAGAATCTGGAAAAATGGCAAGGGCCATCAACCTACCATAGTGTAAGTTTACCTCCAGGCCATTGTCTAGTGAAAAAGTGAAGATAATGAGTCACAGGAAAGAGAAACCAGCAAGGGGTTGGGTTGATTGGACAAGCTAGGGCTAGAGTCATGGGTAAAAAATGAGGAATTAGATGTTGAGGTAATAAACTCTAAGAATCTGAGGAACTTATAAGATACTGAAGGTATGTATTCTGCCTTGTTGATCCTTCGCCATCCCTCTTTTTTAGATGAGCTGCCCCAGGCAGAGGGCCTGGGGGCCAGTGAGGCAGCTGAAAGGCTGGGCCAGGGTTGTATGTGGGATGTGGCTGGAGAAGATGGTCATCGCTGGAGGGTGTTCCGAACAGGACAGTGGGAGCAGCGAGTGGACATGACCGCCATTGAGCCCTATAAGAAAGTCCTATCTCATGGAGGTAATGGAGGGGTAAGAACTGTGACTTCTTAAGTAAAATGCCAAAGCTGGAAATTCAGTCATGGGTTCAGAATCCTTCCTGCAACTTCTAGAGACCCTCAGAGTCTCTCAATCTAAAGAGATGTACCGTCCATCAATGACTGAATGAGTTTTCCCCTTCTCCTCCTCAGGCTACCATGGTGATGGCCTCAGTGTTGTCATCCTCTTTGCTTCCTGTTATCTACCCAGAAGCAGCATCCCCGACTACACCTATGTCATGGAACACTTGTTTAGGTGAGGTGGAAGGCTTAAAGTGCTCCAGAGTGGATGTTAGAGAGGGAAACATTAAAAAGAACCCCTTCTCTGATCAGTAACTGATTGTAGAGTCTACAGTAATGTGCCTCTCTCTCCCCACAACCCCAAACGCATACCTTCCCTGACAGTTTCATCTCCCCAGGTATATGGTGGGTACTCTGGAGCTGCTGATAGCTGAAAATTATCTGCTTGTTTACCTGAGTGGAGGCACAAGTAGGGCCCAAGTTCCACCTCTGAGCTGGATACGCCAGTGTTACCGCAGCCTGGATCGGCGGTGAGCCTCTAGGACAAGAGGGCTACCACGCTCTATCTTATCTTTTTCTTTTCCATCTTTCCATTCTTTCTCCCATTCAATTTCTTCCACTTTTTTTTTGACCACGCCACGTGGCTTGCAGGATCTCAGTTCCCCGACCAGGGATTGAACCTGGGCCCTGTCAGTGAAAGTCCAGAATCCTAACCACTTGGCCACCAGGGAACTCCCCCTTCCACTTTTCTTTGTCCCTCTACACCCTTTTCCAAGCCTCTCCTATCTTCTGTCCTCTCTTGGAGTCATGGAAATCTAGTTTCAAATCTTGCCTTTATCACTTACTACCTTTATGACTGTGGACAAGTCACTTAACTTTCTGGGACTCAGTTTCCTTCTCTGTAAAATGTCAATGATAATACCTTTGCCACTGAGTATTTGAATCAAATAAACCAACATGGCGCATTGCCTGGCACATGGAAGGCAGCCCTTCCTTTTCTCATAGGCTTGCCATTTATTTCACTTTTCACATCTCCATTGTCTTCTCTTGTCTGCCTTCATCCCTGACCCTTATGCCTTTTTTCCTTGATATCCCTTTTCTTGTTTCCTTTCTTCCCTCCGTCTTCCATTTGCTCACTTTTCTCTTCTTGTTCCTTTTTTTTCTCCTCACTGGTATTCACCTGGTCATGGAGGGATGGAGGAGTGTACAAAAGGAACTATGGGAGCGTAGGGCACAGGAAAGAAGTGGGGTAGAGAAGGCCAGGCTAAAGTATTCCAAGAGGAGAGTTTCCTAAAAATGAGGAGGCTAAGCAAGATGCATGGAGCTGAGATTGCAGTTAAAGGAATGGGGATTCGACCCAACTATCAGAGAAATCTAGAAATTAGAGAAGAAGAGAAGGAAGTTAAAGTACAGAAGGTAGCTCCACCTGATCTTCAGGTATCAAGGTGGAAGGAGAGTTGAATGGTCTCACGTTCTTCTTCAGGCTCCGGAAAAACCTGACTGCCCTGGTGGTTGTCCACGCTACATGGTATGTGAAGGCATTCCTGGCACTGCT